ATCCGATGTTGGAGAAGATAATAAGAGCTGCAGAACTGAACAACTCAAGAAGATTTTTTTACACAAAAGTCTGCAATTACTGACGTACGCCGATGGCATCGAAATCATCGTTATCAGGAACCGCGAAGTTTGTTCCAAGCAAAGCGATTAGGTCTGTTGGTCAACGAGAACAAGGTAACAAAATCGACGGAAAGAAGGTCAATTGACACTATTACGCATACTGATGCGAAATAAAGTCAATTGACATTGTTACCTTTTTAAAAGCGAAATAAAATCCAGCGACATTATAGCTCTTTCAAACATTAAATTTGCGTAGTTTCCATTTCAATTCGGAAATACTTAATTTATTTCCAAATTTTTGTTGATTTTATTTCTCTTTTAAAAAGGTAATAACGTCAATTCATTTTCGCATCACTATGCGAAATAGTGCCAATTTACGTTACTTCCGTTGATCTTGTTACCTGTCACCCGTTATGCATGGCATGATGAGCTGTATGAGCTTTACAACGACATAGAAATAGTTCAGCGAATTAAGATGCAGAGGCTCCGCTGTCTTATCGATGTCGTGGATTTCGACGCTCCAGCTCTGAAAGTATTCAAATCAGAAGAAAATACGTAGAACCATCAGGAAAAAAATAATTAAAAATTAACGCGAACTCTTAGGCACTTCAAATTTGCAAATATTTTTTCTTTTAGTTTTGATTAAAATTAAAAATGTTGATAAAATTTCGTTGAACTTCCCTTATCTTCACATATAATAAAATTGTAACGGCGGTCCTTATTAGAGCAATAGAAGCCAAATGAACAATTTTAAGAATGTTGGTCTATCATTCTGTTCGTTTTTCTGCCTGTCTGTATGTTTGTCTGCGCATCAATTGAAAACTAATGCATGAAATGGAATGAAGTTTTCACCGAAGTATTTCTAAAAGTCTAACTTAAAATATAAGAGAGAAATATTTAGACAATTGCCACCTGTTTGAAAATTCCAGTGTAAATAAATTGATAAGATAAAGTAAATATTGCAATATGGCTGTCAAAACAGAGAGGTTTTAAAAGGCTTACAGCTGAAAATATTTTTGTGGACGGTTGCCACCTGTTTGAATATTAAAAATTTGATTAAATTGATAAGATAAATTAAATATTGCAATATGAGTACCAAACTGAGGAGGTTTAGGAAATTTTACTTCTGAAAATATTTTTGTAGCGGGTTGCCACTTATTTGAAATGTGTTATTCAGATAAAGTTATAAGACAAGATAAGTTCTGGATGGTGTACTAATCCCACGAAGTGCACGATATGTAGAATCGAGGTAGAAGATTATAAATTAAATCTCCAGGATTAAATACCTTCGAAAATTTATTAACAACACCCTTATTCATAAAAAATAAAGAATGTTTCATAAATCGAAAATTTGGTTGACAATCTCACTTCATAAAGCTCTTCTAATCTACATATTTAATTTTTTACGAATGAAGCCATAACAGTTGTGGGAGGGAGCAACAACACACAAATACTGTTTAGGCGCAGTGAAGCACGCCGGGTATTTGCTAGTTTTATATAAAGTTTGAAACTTTGATTCATATGATTCTATTTCCAGCATGAACTTTATTTTTGTTAAGAAATAACAAAAATGTTAGATTACAAACCATTTTAAATATTAGGGGTATGCAGATACATAGTATATGCAGACAGTGTATGTACATATGTTTATTATCAATGTACATATGTTTGCTTTCACAGATATGATCTCAGATATTCAATTGCCAACGCCACCCTCATCACTACACCACTCTGATTTATCCATATACAACTCAATCAAGCCAATATGAAATATCAGAATTGTGCGAAATTCAATTTGCTATTACCCCGATTGCAA